CCTAGTGTTAATATAACTCATGTGGACTTCTTATTTAGAAATTGTTAGATGATATATTGTTAAAACATCCACAGATCATGGAGAAATAATTTGCGGCTGAAAAATAATTTTTCGCACCGAGTAAATGTTAGCCTGATAATGACCCGTAAATTCTAATCCACGAGTTAATTGTTGACGACTGAAAAGTATAATTTGGTTTCAATAAATGAAACAGCAAATCTAACAGCTGAATCAAGTATTTTTAGTAACTACCTATTTAGTACAAAATAACCTACTACCTCCGCCTGGGAACCCTCTGGAATTACTACTGGTCCCAAGCCCGAATAAAAGAGGAGGGTTGGGCATGGGGTTAGCGACCCTATCCTGTAGAAAATCAACTCGCTAGAAAACGCTAACCAGAAAAAGTAATTCAAACTATTTACACTCTGCTCTGGGAGTTAGAAGGTCTTTATTTAGGAGAGTTATGACGTCTCATGATGAAAGCTGAGTTCTTTCGGAAGTCACGAGGCTGATGCCCCTTCTGACAACCAGAGCAACCATTAATTTAGGTACATAGAATGTCCGCAGAATGTGAGAGTCATCCAAGTTGCTGCAGAAATGAAAAGATACAACCTGGAGATGGTTGGAGCCAGTGAAACACATTGGACGCAGGCTGGGCAATAAAGATTAGCTTCAGGAAAGCTACTGACATATTCCCGCCATGAAGAAAATACTCCACATACACAAGATGTTTAACTGATGCTATCCAAACAAGCACAAAAAGCATTTATAGGATGGGAATCCCGTGAACTCAGGATTATCAACGTGTGCTCCAAAACAAAGAAGGAAGACACTTAAATGAATGCCATTCAATGCTATGAGCCTACCAACGACTACAATGAAAACGTTAAAGATCAATTCTACAATAGGCTGCAGTCAATTGTTGGTAAATGCCCAAGAAAGGACGTGATCATTCTGATGAGACCTCAATGCCAAGGTCGGAATGGTAAACACCGGATACGAAGACATCATGGAACGAAACCGACTGACTGGGAAAAAGGAACGAAAATGTTTAGAGATTAGCAAACCTTTGTTCATTCAATAAAATAGTTATAGGTGACACCATATTTCCACATAAACGCATTCACAAAACCACATGAACTTCACCGGATCACAGTACGCGAAACCAAACTGACCATATCTGCATCAACAAAAAGTTCAGAAGGGCGATGGAGGATGCTAGAACCAGAAGAGGAGCTGATATAACATCAGATCATCACTTGCAGGTCGCCAAGACGAAATTGAAACTCAAGAAGCACTGGACAACGGGGCGGACATAACGAAAGTTTAGTATGGCTTTTCTTCGGGATACTGACAAACTCAAAAAATTCGAGATAACCCTCAACAATAGGTTCCAGGCCTTTCATGATCTACTCGTTGGAGAAAGAACTACTATGGAATACAACTGGAAAGGGACCAAGGGAGCAACCACTTTAACATGTCATGAGGTTCTGGGCCACAAGAAGCACCATCACAAGGGATGGATCACTGTTGATACACCGGATAAGATTCAAGAAAGGAGGAAAAAGAAGGCAGCAATCAGTATCAGCCGAACAGAAAAAGTCAAGGCACAAGCTGAATACACAGAAGCAAGAGAAGGAAACCTGAGACAATTGTGTGATACAACAAAGAAGCTCGCTGGAAATTACCGACCAGTATAAAGCAAGGAAGGCAAGGTAATCACCAACATTGAAGAACAACGAAACAGGTGGGTAGAATCCTTTAAAGAACTATTGAATCGAGCAGGCCCACTGAACCGACCTAACATTGAAGCAGCACCCACGGACCTTCCAATCGATGTTGGCCCGCCAACCACTGAAGAAATCAACATGGACATCAGACAAATCAAGAGCGGCATAGCAGCGGGACCAGATGACATTCCAGCAAAGGTACTGAAAGTAGATGTAGCAGCAACTGCAAAGATACTCTACATTCTCTTTAGTAAGATTTGGGATGAAGAACAAGTTCCAACAGACTGGGAAAAAGGACTTCTGATCAAAGTTTGTTAGGTACTGATTTCAACTTGCTGTTTTTAAAATTAATGTACGTTAAATTTCAACCTATACAGATCCCCAAAAGAAATAGATGGTAGTCCTGCTTATATCCAATACTCGGTAGCAAACTTCGTTAATTTACTGGAGAGAACTAGCTGAAGACAAGCATTAAGAACTTATGCTATTCAATATTTCTTGCACACTTTGTACTTAAGCAACAAGCCATCTTACTCTAAGCAACTTCTCCAGCTGGGAAAAGATATTATCTCCCCATCTAAATCGATATTTTTTGCAGTCTATATCTGCTTAGGGATTGTACGACGAAAATTAGTCTCTAAGCCTTTCTAACTTTTTAGTTATTCTTTAAGAAAACCGAGTGGAGAGATAGAATCTCTGTCTTCAGATCGTTTATCTGTAAACAACCAGACCATTAGAGTAAATATATAACACAAATTTGTTTGGAAAGGCAAATCAGTTGGATTCTTCGCAAAACGTTATTAGGTAGAGAGCGTGCAGCAAGTAACTGTAAATTATGACGCCAATGAAGTGTACAACATTGACTCCTGGATGGATGTTTAATTTTAACTAATGGTAGGCATTAAATGCTTAATTACAACAAAGCCACGGTTTTATTAACTGTTACAGACGTTGGTCTTCTGTGGTTAAATAAAAATATCCTTATCAGCATGACACCACTTTGATAATGCACAGAGTTGCATAAGACCTCTTTTCATTAAAAATATGTACCTTCGACAATCGTGAAATTGTCAAAATTTAAGCTACAGGAGCTACTAAACCTTGGTATATTCATCGAATAAATGGGGAACCTGTTAGCAAACAAAAGCCAGAAAGACAAATTTTATAACTGTTGACCTAATATGCCCCAATAATTCCACTCTCGATTGTTCATATTTCATAGAAAACATTAATAATAACTTTAAGGCTTAAATCTTGTACGAGCATACATACAGCCATGTGTAATTGTGAGAACAAAGATATCTTTACTGTAATACATGTTTGTACATAATACTTTCACATTTTTAGAATAACCCTGAAATGTTTAAGACAGAAATACAAACTTATGACTAGCAATTAGAAGTTTCCAACATCAACTTATGAAAGGACTAAATGTTTTGCTTTTATAATTACCGACAATTTGGTTAACTAATTTCTAAGCGTACTAACTCAGAATAAATATTCATCAGTGCACACAAATATACACCAAAATAATCAATATATGCGCAGCCGCATGATTCATATGCAGTCACTATCAAAGTCATATTTTCCTAATTACAGACTCATATAGTAGCAAGTACCTTTAACTTCATGTGACAAAAATCATCAGTTTATAATTGATGAGCGATTAATACGTGGAATGTTCATGATTTTTACCGAAAGATGATGAGCCTGAGTTTGACGTTGTACCTTGTTGGTTCTATGGAAATATCTCTTCATTGTGATCTGCTTTCATCTATACATATGTTGATAGTAGCCTAAATAACTTACATCAGCCAGAATTGTTGTACTCATCATACAGTGAAGTGGAGGGCCTATAAGTAAGTTATTACATTACATGCAGCAATAATCTGGAAGACTATACAGATGAATTTAGACTTCCAGTGGTTGCTACAGTGGGACACTACAGAAGTTTTCTGATATTTCAAACATTTCAATCAACATAGAATCCGGAAATAAGCATCAGGACAAGATTATACACTAAGTGAAGTTGATAAGATGAAAAGACAGGGGTTGAAATGTTTATAACACTAATGATAGCAGCAGAGACTAACCATTGGAAAATATGGACTGAAAAGAAATGAATTGAAAGTATGGAACGGTACTTGAGCCAAAAATCTAGGGAAAGATAAAGAACCAATGGATTTGCAGAGGATTTCGTACCACACTACAAACCTCCATATTGGAGATATGTACATTCCGAAATTAAGAGTTACCTATGGACGGATTGCGGGGAGAATAATGGAATTTCCAAAGACGATAAGCATAAGACAATGACAAATTCAGGTAGTACTAAATGACTACGGTAATAAATTGTCCCCTGAAAATACTGACCTTTAAAACTCAGCATATCAAAACGCTACTTTTCGTTTAAGTGAGCATCCGACAATTAGAATACCAAAAAGAGACCCTTACATCCAATTCCATAGTTTTATTGCAGTCTTTACATGACAACTGTCCTCCATTCTTATCGGAAATATCTCCTCTTGACAGAATACAGTACTGATCGGTAAATTATATTTGTAGAGGACGATTAAATGAACATACTATGTTTACAAATTCTTAATAGCTACACTTTATACTGAGACTCTTGACAATAAGATAAGTAGTGTTCTGAAATAGTTGACGTGAGCACCAGTTCACTGTGATCACTAAAAAATTCAGGGCGATGAAAATCACATAGCATTAGCCTATAGTGACTTCTGCCTAAAATAGTGCCATATTCCTAAAACTCGAAGTTTCAACGTATTTGTTTCTCATTGCAGTTTGAAATATTTCAGTGAAGTAAGTTGATCCTTATCATAGTTTTACCTACTCGTTTTGCTCATTGAATTAAAAGAAACATTTGTTGATTAGAATCCTAACAGTAAACAGTTAATCCGATGTATGATCATACCAGGTGAGAGTAGTAGTTTGTCATTTACCTTTGGTTGAATGAAAGTGTTAAACAAGTCAGTGACACCAGACTTTTCGACATAGCAGTGGCTCATAAGTATTCTGTGATCTGTTACCGTACTATTGCCTTGTCAAACCAAGTCGTGACTTTGGATTGAATAAATTCCAGGATAAATCATGAAGAATGGACTATCTCGACATGTCTGTAAAATAAATCGTCATAACTAAATCCTAAGTGACTTTGATATACGATAAGAACGATTACATAGCATTATATTAAATATACCAGTTAGCGATAAACTACTAAACAGATCACAAGAATGATGTGGTTGAAGTTTACTCAGAGTCCGAAGATGATTCGGACTCACTTGCGCTTGAGTCTTCTGACTCCTTTGTGTTTTCCCTTTTAATCTTCATAGACTTTTCTGCAGACTGCCCTGAGTGATTTGATGATGAGTCACTGTCGGATTTTGCTTCCGGGCTATTGGCTTCGGAAGTAACAGAAGGTTTTCGAGAATCTGGTGGAGAGTGTTTAAGTGAACTGCCATTCGAATCTGTCTTCGACTTCTTGGCCTCAGATTCTCCAGATGATGAGCTTTCAGAATCCTTTTGAGCACTAGAAACCGAACGTTTTGACGAGTCACTATCCGACTCTGTCTTGGATTTTTTGGCTTCGGATTCTCTAGACGAGTCTTCCGAACTTTCATCAGAGTCATTAGAAGGTCTTGCTTCTCCCTCAACATCCTTTGCTGACAAAGGATTTATTTTTTCTTCTTCCTCATTTCCCGAATCTTCATCAGACGTTTTTCTTTGGTGTTCTGTGGAATGGTCTTCATTTTCATCAACTTTCACTTCAAGACTTTCATGTAAAGCCTTTTCTTTTTTATCTTTATCCTCTTCTTCTTTAACAGCTTCACCGTTTTCTTCCTCCTTAGGAATATCAGGCTTATCTTCATCGACCGAAGACTCCTAGTAAGATCAACATATTATAATTAAACACACTACCTTAGCCTTTTCCTCGTCCTCCTCCTCACTCTCAGCCTGAAATTTAACGTCACAAATTGAGTCCGAGTAAGTTTTCTACAGGTTTAATTCATGCAGCACATGCAAAATAAGGCTAAGCAATCATGCGAGAAGACTTAAGGCGCAAATGGTACCTCACTGGCGCTGCTACCCATCAATGCCGAGAACGACTTCTGAAGGGAAATCCTGAGAGTTAATTGAAGATCTTACAGGTTTTTCTCCAGGCAATTTTAGAAAAGATTCTAGTTCTTCCATTTCCACGGCCTCGTAAAATTCCTCATAGCCCTGAAAAGATGAAAGTAAGAGGAATACTAACTCCGAGATATTCTTCATCGAGGAAAATGTGTGGTGGAACCAAAGGTTTCTCTTTTTTCTTCAGCTCCTCAAACAATGAACACTTTTTAGACTCATTGGAGACGTCAGAGAGGTCAACTTCTTCAAAGTCAACCTTTTTAGCATTCAGCAGTGACAGAATTAGTGCCTGCTCTTTTTTGACCTGCATCATAACTCGTTAAAAGTAATCAACCCAACCTTAAGGTTTCCAGAAAGAGTACTGATGTAAACCTTCAGAACCATTGATGTAACGCAAATCTCGAAATCTACTGATCTAATGTCCTTTCAATACACTAATTAAAACCTATCTATTTAAATACTTTCCAATCTTCATTTTGTATAATGTTCCTGTATCTGTGGAAGTGCTCATGAAAGTTACACTAGTTGCTCAATTTCAATCGTCTTCGTAAATTAGTGCAATTGCCTCAAGTTGTTAACGTTTCCCCCCTGCCAAAGCCTTGTAATTCTACAACACTGGTGTTGACCTTATTAGTATTGCTAGATACCTGCTAAATTATGGTGTTTAGACACTCATGTGCATCAGACAACGTTTCCGTATATCGTGCAAAGCATCTCTCGCTATTTAAAAAGGACAGTGGTATTGTTTCTCGTTGAGTTAGATTGTTTTGATCGTAAACTACTGTCTACAGTTAAATTGAATGTATTTCAGTTAAAGTGATATTTTATTTGTGTGTTTTGATATTGCTTTTTTGTGTTTACTGCATCAAAGCATTCTTGGTCGACTTCCGCTTGATTCATTTGATTAAAGTTTGAGATTTGTCTTACAAATCCATTTCGTCTAACATTTTAGTAAGTTTTTAAGATGATCGGCTCTGATCACAAGTGTGGACATCCATATTGCTTATTCCGTGTAGAAGAAGGAATGCAATGTGATGAGTGTAAGAAGAGGTTCCATAAAATGGGCACTCGCTTAAGTCCCACTGCCTATATAAGGTGCTCAAAGCCTAATTCTCATTGGCCCTGTATGTTTTGTTGTTCGAGCGAAACAGTACTCATTCAAGAAGCAATTAGCCTTCTGGCATTAGCTAACAAAAAGGTTGACGAGAGCTGTACCAGTAACATGGGTACTGATAATGAAGAATGTGTCAGTGTCGTATGTGCTGTCACGGCACATGCCAGACATCCAACTGTGTAACACGAAATAGAGCTTTATACCCCGAAACAATTGATGAGCGATATATCATTAGATATTGGTGGCCAAGTCGCTACAGCATCGACTGATGGTCCGGGTAGTTCTAATCTGCTTGCTGCAAGTGACAGGAAATGGATGACGCGGAATCGTAGAAGAGAATGAAAGATAGCCAACGAAAGCGCCCATTTAGTTAAAAAGTCTTTGTTGGACTTACATTCTACGTTTCACAGTACCCCGTTAAGGTTCGAAAGTAAGACAATATTTAGCTCTGTCATGGATGAGAAAAGTTTGGTTCAACCAAACATTGTTGTGAGTCATTCGCTTGACTCACACGACACTATTACAAGGAAAGCTAACGGTAAGATACCAGCAGTTAACAAGCAGGATCTGACATCACCGTCGAAAGCGTGAACACGAATTTTAAAGAAGTTAAACATCTTCCAAGTTTAATTATTTGGAATCTAGAAGAGTCAAAAGGCAGTGGCCCTGTTAAAAGACACGAACACGATCCGCAGTTAGTGGGATCTGTCATCAGAAATGTACTGCCTGAAGAGGTTTCAGGGGTACATATCACGAAAGTAATAAGACCCAATAAATGGGTTGGAGGCGAGCCCCAACAAAGAAGGATCTTGAGGCTAGTACTCGGGAACTCTGAGGAAAGAGACGTAATATTGAAAAACGCACACAATACTCGGGATTCAAATATTCATATTCGACCAGATTGGTCGCTTGGGGATCCGATCAAGTGGAAGAATGCTTCTACAGAGTTAAGAACTCGAAAGCTAAATGACGAAACGAACCTCACGATTAAGGGTTTCCGGATAGTCAGGTCTTGGAAGCCAATGCTACCGAGACCTGTATGGGTAGAACGTACGATCCCCAAGACACCTTAAATGTGTGCTACACGAGTGCCCGTAGTCTTCGAAATAAAACGTTCGAGCTGTTTGATGGTTGACGAATTAAATCCCAATATAATTGTTGTCATAGAAACTTGTCTCGCTGTAGATATAGACTGTTCTTCCATCATTTCAGGCAACATCTGTATCGAAAGTGATAGAGTTGTAAGTCACAAAGGGGGAGGCATAATGTTATGTGTTAGGGATAACTGTGTCATACAATCGATCATATCGGAGGCGCATGTTGGTGGAACATGTGAGATAGGATGTTGTACAATTAGGTCTAGAAACGCGCTAGTGAATATATCGTAGTCCGTGTTGTCTTGCCGACGACTTTATCATACGACACTTCTGTTCTTCGAGTAAGGCAAAATGTTGCTTCATCATTGGAGACTTCAACGCACCGCATACCAACTAGATAGAGCTCCCAGCTTCGGGTGGGGGTTTCGATAACAACCTTATATCAACCATTATCCAATGTTCACCTGTACAGTAAATCGTGAAACCGACACATATTGGCTTGGAACATGATCCTTATTGCTAGACCTTGTCCTGACTTACCACTGTGAAGATGTCGTTGACATTCAACACCTTCCCCCAATAGTGAATAGTGACCACGTTTTACTTTTCTTTAAGTTCCGGACACATAGTATAGAGTGTGCGTCTGCTCCACCCCGTCCCAATATCCGGAGAGTTAATATTCTGGCAAAAAGAGACTGTGCTATCTGGATTGACTGGTCGGTAGATGCTGAGGGATCAATCGAAGACGACTGGAATACGTTTAAGGCCACATTCGAGGAAACCTGGACGTTGTTGAAGCATAGGAAACACTTCTGGTACTTATTCTTGTCAACAGAACAGGCATCATTTCAGTGCGAATATAAAAACACCCGGAATATATGTAAAAAGACCATAGCTGAATCCCGTACCACTTGCGAACGACAGTTGGCATGTGATAGTCGTATTTGTCCGAAGCGATTGTTTTCGTACGTTAAACGGCGAACAAAACGTAGTGATGGTATTCTGGCGTCACTATTACAAGAAAATTCAGATTTACTAGCTGAGTCTGATCTAGCAAAAGCTGAGATATTTGCAAACTATTTTAGTGAAGTCTACTCTACGTGTAGTGTTACAACTACTTGCCCCATTCACACTGAGATACCAGCCATAGGATTTATGCACGTGACTGAGGAATCTGTTCTTCTGTTGATAAGTAGCATCAAACCTTGTAAGATACCGGGCCCCGATGCATTGCATCCACGTTTGCTGTCATCTCTTGCGGACATTATTTCAAGACCGCTCGCAACGCTCTTCAACATGTCCCTTTCACTCGCTCAACCCCCCAGAGACTGGGAAGACGCTTTAGTCAGTCCTATATTTAAGAATGGTCAGAGACGGATCATATCTAACTACTGGCTTGTTAGCCTAACCAGCATAGTCGTTAAGTTACTTGAAAAGATAATTCGGGTTAAGTTGCTAGGTCACATAGATTCGTACAATCTGTTAACTCCCGAGCAACATGGGTTTCTTAACAAGCGTTCATACTTGACTAACTTATTGCGAGAGAGGATTGGACAGAAGCCCTAGATAACGGCCTATCCGTCGATGTGATATTCATAGATTTTAGCATAGTGTTTGATAAGGTTTCACACTTAAGTCTTATGCGGAAGCTGTCGAGCTTTGGAATGATAGTTGCTATACAGGAATGGATAGGAAACTTCTTATATAACCACAGAAAGATAGTGAGGTTCAGTGGAACGCTATCCAAGTAGAAGCCGATAAAAATTGGTTTACCTCAAGGCACCATCTTAGGCCCTCTACTTTTCCTTCTCTATGTTAATGAATTACCGCTATTGCTTAAGTCGTCGACATTAATGTTTGCGGATGATATCAAAATCTGGGGAACAGTAAGCATTGAGGTTGATCTCTTTCATCTCCAAGCTGAATTAGTTGGATGGGCTCGTGGTTGTGACCTGGAAGTTAATTCCAGGAAGAGCGTGCTCATGCCCATTTAACACGGTAATAGTTACCATTATACCATTGACGATACATCTTTTTTTACACGCGTTCAAGAACATAAAGACTTGGGAGTCACTTTAAAAACAACTACGCACTGCAACGCAACTGCTTACAAAGGTTATCGTGCATTGTGATCACTTCGTCGAGCATACAAATGCTTTGTAGAGGAGATGTTTTGAATTTTATATCCCACCTACGTAAGCCCACACACAGAGTTCTGTATTCAAGCGGCTAGCTCATGTTTAAGAAAGGATACTAACTCACTTGAGCGTGTCCAGCCTGTGGGGACGAAATTGGTGAAGGGTCTTTCTAAACTCCCTTGCGATCAGCGTAAGAAATGTCTAAACCTTTTCCCCTTGTCTTATCGTCGGACACGAGGTGACCTTATACCGGCATTTCATATTTTTATTTATGATTTGGGTGTTAATGACCAGCACTGATAACCTCCGAGGTCAAATCAAGAAGGTTCACAAACCGCGGTCGAATAAACTAAAGGTGTGACCCCCTTTTTCTCATTGAGTGGTCAATGAATGGAACTCCTTACCCGAACAAGTGGTATCAATTCCACCAGTGAACATTTTCTGGGAGAAGCTGGACCTTCACTGGGAAGCAATCTGTCAAGATTACCACAGGTTCACCAAACTTCTATCATTATTACTGAAGACTGAAGAATAGAGACTAGATCGTATACTTCTGAACTCGTCGACCACTTTCCAAACTCATTCTCCAACTATTCCATTCTTGACTCTCGGTTTGTCTGCGTTGAGATCTCCGACAAAAGAGCTCTACAAACAACAATGTTGTCGATCAATATATAGCTCAATACTTTTGTGGTTAGCCTTAACATGATCTGATGCACTGAATGACAAGCTGTAAAAATGTTTCTTGCCCTCACATTATGTGTATACATATGCACATATCGTAATATAAATTTCGTGGTTTCATTGTTTCTCTCATATTTGCGAATTTCATTTTTAAACAACTAAAGATTATTATTCACATGAGGCCTACCTTCCAAATCATACTCTTCAAGCCCGATAATAATATACGAAATCTCACTGGTGCAAGCAGTGTGGTTACAGACAACTGGTCTCGTACACCTTCTTTGAACAATTTCCAAGACACCAACTTTCTCAAACTCACTCAGCTTCACAAAAAGACTCTGGTTTTCATCA